TGATGAAAAATCCCTTTCTCTTTCAAAAAATCACCTAAGTGCTCATTAAAATATTCTGTTCCATTGTCAGAATGTAAAATACTAATCTTGGTTTGAAATTGGTTTTCAATCAGAGTGTAAAAATTTTTGAATAAATCTTTCACGTCAGACTTTTTATTCATTAGATAAATCCAACATAACCGTGTGTGGTCATCAATAAAAGTAACAAACCACCTTTTACCAAAAATAATAGTAACTTTAGAAGGGCCCCAAACATCACTATGAAACAGATAAAAAGGTTTGGAGGCCTGATAATCTTTTGGTAAATAAGGGGAACAACGGTTTTTTGAAAAAAATGCAATTTTCACAATGAAAAGAAGAACAATCAATCCCTTTAAATAATTCTGGAAATAAGTGTTTCAAATAAAGAAAACTAGGATGTCCTAGTCTATAGTGCCACAACATTATTTTTTCTCGAACAGAAATTGAACTAGTACCACTAAAGCTCTGAACTTTTTTATTACTGATAGATACTTCAAAGTAATAAAGACCTTCAATCATCCTAGCACGTCCAATCATCATCCCCGAGTTTTGGTCCTGAAATTCACAATGTGATTCAAAGAAGGTAATGCAACAATTAGAATCTCTAGATAGTTTACTGACAGACAAAATATTGCAGGCTAATTTAGGGACATAAAGAACATTATTGAGATTAATTTTCTTTGCCAGTTTAATGAGTCCTTTTCCTGCAATAGGTGAAAAACTACCATCGGCAATTCTATTTTTTTCATTTCCAAGGCAAGGTGAATATGTATTAAATAAATGAGAAAAACTAGTCATGTGATCTGAGGCTCTGGAATCTATTATCCACGGAGAGGAATTTAGACTACCTGTTTGTGCCAAAGAAACACTAGGAATACCGGATGAGAAATTGGATTTTATCAGTTTCAAGAGTTGATCAATCTGCTCTTTGTTGAAGGGACCTGAGTCGGCTTCACTTGCAGTAGGAATTCCACGATTCTTCTCTCCTTGCTTGTTGCTTTTCCAGTTAGCAGGTTTTCCATGAATTTTCCAACATGTCTCACGTGTATGGCGGGGTTTGTTGCAAAAATCGCACCACCCGTGGTTTATCATCAGACCTGCGCTGGTAGTTTGCTGCCTTGTAGGTTGCAACATCACTCAATAAGGCAAAATTTTCAATTAACTCACCAATACTCTTCTTTTTGAGCATGACATTCCTTATGCTTTCTTCTCTTCTAACTTCGGCAAATACTTCGCCAATGGATGGAAGAGGAGGTCTGCCAATAATCCTTCCTCGTACTTCATCAAACTCAACATTGAGGCCGGCAAGAAACTTGTAAATACGACTATCTTCTACAGTTTTCTTATGGTGATTACAGTCGTCAATACTTTTCCATTCGTATGTGTTAAAGAGATCAAGATCCTGCCACAGCCTTTTCAACGAATGGAAATATGTGGTGACAGAATTATCTCCTTGACGAATCTCCTCCAATTTTAAAGTCAACTCAAAAACCTAAGATTGGTTGCCTAGGTCAGAATACATCTGACTAACATTATCCCACAATTCTTTTGCAGTAGGATAGCACATGTAATTGGAGCTTATGTCCTCCTCCATGGAATTGACCAGCCATGTCATAACCATGGAGTTTTCAGCATCCCAAGTAGCGTATAGTGGATCATCAACAGCAGGAGCCTTCTTGTCACCAGTGATGTAACCGATTTTCCCTTGCCCACAAATATACATCTGGACTGATTGTAACCATCGAAGGAAGTTGTCACCATTTAAGCGGATGGTGGTGATTTGGACAGAATGAGAATTGGAGTGGTGCTGCAGAGTGGCCGCGGCAGGGGTTGAGGTGATTTCCGACGCGACTTCGGACATGGCTACAGTGATTTTGGAACTATTGTGTTTTAGGGTTAAGACACGATTATGGCTCTGACACCAAATTAGAAAAGAATGAAGAAATAATATGTGTCTTATTTCTTGAATGAGTACAAGGCTCCTTTTATACAGAGGGAAATTACAACAAAAAAAGAAACTAATTAGAGCCAATATTTGACAGGTTCTACTTTCCTACTTTTTCTTGATTTACATAGAAAACAAATCCTAGAATATCTCACAGATTATGACTAAATCAAGGCTTTCAATGACCAAATTTCCAATAGAGGAAAAAAGGGCTCAAGGGTTGCGTCTTTAAAGTTGACTACAAGAAGGCATATGATACTGTTGATTGGCCTATTTTGTTCAAGGTAATGGAGAAAATGGGTTTTTGGCTCCAGATGGATTGGATGGATAAGGAAATGTGTATCCTCAGCTTCCGTTTCAATTTTGGTCAATGGCGTTCCTATTGAGGAATTCCCAATGGCAAAGGGTCTTCGTCAGGGTTGTTCTCTGTCTCCATTATTGTTCAATCTAGTTGGGGAACTTCTGAATTTACTACTTCTAAAGGCAGTCTCTGAGTGGTTTTTCTCTGGAATGGCTATAGGTAGGGAGGAGGCGTTTTTTTAATTTAACTCATTTGCATTTCGCTGATGATTTTGTGGAGCGTCAAAGATGCAAATTTTGAATGTAAAGAGGGTTCTTAGAGTGTTTGAAGTTATGTCTGGTCTTCAGCTGAATTTAAAGAAATGCAAACTGTTTGGTATTAACACCACTCAAGAAGTTCAAGAATGGGCAAATTCTATTGGTTGTTCAATTGGGTGCTTTCCTTCAGATTATCTTGGATTACCCCTTGGTGCTACTAGGAACTCACAAGCTCATTGAGACCCGGTGGTTCAAAATTTCTACAGAAAACTTGCTGGTTTGAAGGCTTCTACTCTTTCATTAGCTGGGAGATTGGTATTGGTTAAGTCGGTCTTATGCTCGCTTCCTAATTATTTCTTGTCGATGTTTAAGATTCCAGCCTCGGTTTACAAAATCCTCAATGCGATCATGTCTAATTTCTTATGGGGAGGCGGCAATGGGAAAAAAAAGATACATTGGGTTAATTGGTCTACTGTGTGTAAACCAAAGAATGAGGGAGGTCTGGGAGTACTGGATCTAAATTTGATGAACAGAGCTTTATTAGGGAAATGGTCATGGAGGTTTGCTAACGAAAGAAATTATGTTTGGAGGAGAATGATTTGCAGCAAATACAATATTGATTCATCCCTACTATTGTTCGACAGTAAGATTCCAGCTCAAGCTTCTTGGATTTGGAGATCAGTCGTGAATAACCATTTCGAAGATGACTCTTTCGGTTCTAAGTTTCGAAGTTTGTGTAGCTTTCAAGCCGGTGATGGAAAGTTTATTCGGTTTTGGCATGATATTTGGGCTATGGATTATCCACTCTTGGTCATTTTTCCTAGACTGTTTTCGATTACTTCAAACAAGATTAGCAAATTATGTGAGTTCGGGGAACATCGACTATGGGTTGGATTTGGAATGTTCAATTCCGAAGAAATTTAAATGATTGGGAATTTGAACAATGGTCAAATTTGATGGTTATCATTTCCAATTTTTTCACTTTCCAAAGATTCCAACGATGGTTTGATATGGAAAGGCAGTGAGGATGGTGTGTATTTTGTTAGCTCTTGTGTCAAGCTGTGTTCTTCAGGATCAGAGGAGGTTCATTTCTGGAAAAATATAATTTAGAGGGGACTGCTTCCTCCAAAAGTGGAATCCTTTATGTAGCAAGTTGTTCTTCAGAAGCTGGCATGTAAGACTGAACTGGTTAAAAAAGGGGTTCAGGGCATTGATGATGTTTTATGTCCTCTTTGCAATTTAGTGGAGGAGTCTTCCTCACATTTATTTTTTTCTTGTTCTGTTGCGTGGTCTTTATGGAATAAATTCTTGAAGTTATGGAGGTTCAATTCTATTTTTCATACTAATGCCAAGATTTTTCTCCAATCCTGGGAAGATTTGAAGAAAAATTCTACGATATGGTCATTTGTTCCAGGGGTTGTTCTATGGACCATTTGGAAAGTCAGGAATTCCATTGTGTTCGAAGGGGGGAAGTTAGATCAGACAGAATTATTTTTCTTAGCAAGGTTTAGGCTTGCTTCATGGTTTTTAGCCAAGTATAAAGAGATCTCTATCCCCAAGGATTCTCTTATCTCAAATCCTTCTCTAGGGGATTCTTGTTCCTCCTCCAATAAGGTGGTTGTAACAAAGATCCTTTGGCTTCCTCCTCCTAAGGGCTTTATTAAATTGAATGTTGATGCTACTTCTAGTTCGGACTGGAATAGAAGTGGATTAGGTAGAGTTTTAAGAGATTATACTGATTTGATTGTAGGTTCTTTCAAGGAGTCTTCTGGTCCAGGCCCTCCAACCTTGATGGAGCTTAAAGCAATTCACAAGGGATTATCTTTCTTTGTCTCTTTTTTTGGAATTTAAAAGGATCGTTTGATAATAGAGAGTGATAGCCGAGTGGCAGTGGACTGGATTAAGAACGTTGAATTATGCCCAGATGTGTATGCTTTTATTGTGAAAGACATAGTTGATAGGCTTAAAGTTTTTCAAGGAATTGTTAGATGGGTTGCTAGGACGGATAACTTAGAGGCTGACGCCTTAGCTAAGGTAGGAATAGGCTGAGTTCAGTGTGGTTGTTTATGATTGTTTTTTGGTTTTCTATTTCTGTACGGGGTGTTTCTTTGTTGTATTTCTTATGTACCTTTCTTGTGATGAATAAAATCTAAAGGCACTCTTTTCCTCCTTCCGCCGATTAAGGAGTTTCCCTATGAGCTCCATTAATCAAGAAGGGGGTTTTTAACGAGGTCTACAATTCTCAATTCTTATCAAAAACATTATTCTCTTCTTTTTGTAGAAAACAAAATTTAATAATGCTTGGTATAAATTTAAAAAAAAATTATGTATTTTGCAAACTTTCCAATGAGATTAGGAGAAAAAAGTTCAAGAATGGTCTTATTATATGTGGTTACTTTGTCTTTTACCATCTTTCTTTATAATGGTTTCTTTCTTCTTTCTTTTGATGATATTCTTTATAACATGTTGATTTTAGGAAGCCCTTGATGGCCTTGAGTTTGCTAGAGGTGATTCGAATTCTAGGTGGGGTGTTGTTCGAGCGGCAATGGGACACCCTGAACCCTTTGATTTGAGATATGTTGCCGTTGGCAATGAGGATTGTGGGAAGAAGAATTATCGAGGTTGGATAACTTATCATGCTTGCATATGCATATTTATGTGAATTTGTTGGTGAGATGGTAGTTATAAATGAGAAACTTTTATAGTTTTTTTTTTAACATTAATAACCTTTTTTGTCAAAAAAAGATTAGTTGTTGAAGGAAAATTCACCTTGTATGGTCCATATGAGGGTGATGTAGAGTCTAGCCTGTGAGTATTTGGTGTTGTGAAATTTTAAAAAACAGTGCTGTCTTAGGAGACATGAAAAGCTTTTATCCATTGCACAAGGATTGCTGGTACACGTTTACTATTTAGGTGGGTCAGCTTGTTTTCAAGAGTGATTGGATTTGCAGTTGTTAGTTTCTATAATTTGATGTGTGTCCCTCAGAAGCATAAGAGCTCATATATATAATTAGTTATCGGGGATGGACCGAAGGGGGTGCGGTCAAACCCCCTAGAAATTTCAAATTCCCTTATATTTTAGTTATTCTTTGTATTTTCTATTGATTATCTTATTTCACACCCCCTAAATTTTTTTGGTATAAACACCAGTATCCGACCTATTGATCGACTAATCTGGATCAGGTACTGCAGATGCGACACCCCCTAAATTTTTAATATAACTTTTTAAGTTCATGCCCTTTGACTGAAATTCCTGCGTCTGTACTTATTGTGGTTTTGTGAACTATATTATGCTCATGGCCTAGTTTCAGGAATATCGATGTTTAGTTCCACATTGTGATTGGGCCGCAAATCTCTGATTTTGAAAAGTGTGCTTGAAAATTTGTGGTTGGCAAACAATGATGAAAGCAATTTTCCTGAATCCTGAGTGAAATTTTTTAATACAAATATCACAGAAGTTACTGTCTGCCTGTATCGCTTAACCAGTGTTTTTACCCAAACATGATAAGAAATTCGATAGGTTACTGCAGTTCTTTAGCAGTAAATGGTTATTTAATTTAGAAATATCAGTGTGGAGAGTCACTTCCCCCTCCTGTTTTTATTTTTATTTTTTTTATTTTTGGATTGAGCAGGAAATTACCTCAAGTTCTATGATGCTATAAAGCGGGCCTACCCAGATATCCAAATAATTTCAAACTGTGATGGATCGTCTCGCCCACTCGACCACCCTGCTGATCTTTATGATTTTCATGTAAAGTTCTTGACAGCATGCATAATGACAATAGGATGACTTTTTAGTTTATCTACTTTTGTTTTCCGCTTTTCATTTTCTGTTGAATTTGGATGGCATGATAAGTCTTTTTCCATGATCTCTTAATAGGTTTATACATCTGCCAACAACTTGTTTTCCATGTCCAACAAGTTTGATCATACATCACGACAGGGTCCCAAGGTATGTAGATGTGGTGGTTATCAATGACATTTGGATTTGTTTGTTTTCTTATTTGTTTCTTCAACACATTCCAGGCCTTTGTTAGTGAATACGCTGTGACCGGGAAAGATGCTGGCACTGGAAGTCTTTTAGCAGCACTTGCTGAGGCTGGTTTCCTTATTGGTCTGGAAAAGAACAGGTATTTTTATATATTTTTTATGTGCTTCCTATTCAACATATTCCTCTTTCATTTAAATCTCCAGAATAGGCCTATCCTGGTCTCTTCATGAAAGCCCCACCTTCTGGCACATTATTAATTGTGTAAGTGGTTGGTTTGCTAATCTTGGATCCTTTCGTATAACTTCGAAGTTTTAAGACAATTGATTCTTCGCCGAAGTCATTTTAAATACTTTCATTGAAATGGGAAACTGGCAAAAGAATATAGTGCAGAGATTTTGATGGATTCTTGTATAACTTGTAGAAGTGTTTCTGGAGCACAAACTATTTATATACTTAAACAGTGCTTCAAGACCATAATTTTATGTTTTCAAGCCTCTGAAACTATGTTTACTGTACTGCAGCGATGTTGTGCAGATGGCTAGCTATGCACCACTTTTTGTAAATAGTAATGACAGGCGGTATTTTTCTCTGTTCTTTTTTCTCTCTCAATACATGTATATATATATACTCTCTTAATTATGTTGTAAATCTGATCTTGATAAACTTTGTTATTAAGGTGGAACCCAGATGCAATTGTCTTCAACTCCTATCAGGCATATGGGACTCCTAGCTACTGGGTGCAACGTTTTTTCACGGAGTCAAGTGGAGCAACTTTTCTTAATGCAACACTGCAAACAGATTCCTCTACTTCCCTTTTAGCATCTGCAATTGCTTGGAAAAATTCAAATGGTCAAACCTACATCAGGATAAAGGTCTGTAACATTTTGACCGTGACATTTTTCTTAAAATATTTTCCCATAGCTAATTTGATTCATTTTGCCTTCTTCCTAACAAGAAGTCCATGCGCTCCAAAACCTCATTTGTTACCCAGGGCGCGTGAGACATAACAATTAACACAAAACATAGGTTTCAGTATAGATGCATTTACACATTTAGAAAAGGATAATTGTTTGATTTCCCTGAATGTGTTGGACCTACAAGAACATTTTTTAGTTAATGTATATAAATGTATGTATGTATGTATAGAATTATTATCGGGTATGATAATATCTATCCCAACCTATACAACATCCTTGGATGAAACCTAACAATAACTAAAATCCTTAAATCTGAAAGCCTACTTTGGGGTACTTTTTCTTTATTTTTTTTTTCTCGGGGGTTGTAGGTTTGCTGGTCAGAAGAGAAAAGTAATTATGAATTCTGAAGGTGATTTCATCCGATCCCTTCCGCTACAAAATAAAATTTCTTAATTTGAGTTCCAAATCAATACTTAGGCTCACTTTTCTTCTTATTAATTGTGATACTCTTATTGATCTATGAATGATCTTATAGGCACCCGACCTCCAAACTGTCACCATTGAGATCATGTTTAAGTTTAGTACAAATTTGAAATGAAGTGCAGAGGACGGTTTTGGTGCAAATGTGGACTTTGTTACTTGCTTTTTTTCTTATAATTTTTATGTTGAACTCGATTTTCATTTCTAATCGTGACAGATTACTGTAGTCAAAAGAAAAGAAGAAGAACAATGATGGATAACTTGAAAATTTAGGCATTTTGGAATTTACATGTCTCCAATGTTGATATTTTGGACTTCACACGTTCCTGAAAATCTATCAAAGTATCCAAATCTTTTTACTTGCATGCTTCTAACATTGTCTTGCTAATTGAAAAGATATTGGCTGTCTTTGATTTTGTGCTTATATTCATCTTACCTTCAAACTTATTCTTTGTTTTAAAATCCAGGCTGTAAACTTTGGGAGCAATTCAGTGAACCTCCAAATTTCTGTTGGTGGACTGGATCCGAACTCTGAAAAGCTGTCTGGATCAGCAAAGACCATTCTCACATCTGCTGGTCCTATGGATGAGAATTCCTTCTACGAGCCAAAGAAGGTAAAACTGCTATTTTATTCTTTATTTTTCATCCACTGTCCGGAAGGCTTGTTCTCCGGTTTGCAGAAAATTGTATAAAGTCTTTGCATATTTTTGCGTTATTGCAGCTTTTTCCAGCATGTTGGTCTTCCTACTAAGTTTGTTTTTACTTACTAACAAATTAATCAAAAGTTGAGAAGAAAAATTGACAAAGGTTGAAAAATATATTGATTGCATGATAGATAACAAGGAGAAACCGATAGCCACTGAGAAATGGGTGCAAGGCATGCCATGATAATCTAGTTGGCCATTGGAAAAATCCGAGTTCATGTTACTCAGTTTTATGCATATACCCTACGAAAAAGTTTACGGTAGTTGTTCTCCGGTGGTTTACTTCACAGAAAGTAATACGAATTCCCGAAAGGTCGAATCTTGTCCCACGCATTATTAACATGAGAACCAAGTAATAAATTGGAACTTAATATCTGGATGATAAAAACATAATCACTAAATTTTCTTTGCTGATATATGCAGGTCGTACCCATTAAAACACTGCTGGAAAATGCGGACAAGGAGATGAGTGTCCTACTTTTGCCACATTCTTTAACTTCATTTGATTTGTTAAAGGAGTCTGTGAGTCTTAGAGTTGCCGAAGATGATTCGTCCCTTAAATCTTCTATCTGAAATAAATTAACGGAAGCAGTAATTATATGATATGTTGGGGGGTGTATCTGATGTACTGAAACTGTGTATGTTCGGAATAATTTATAATGTAATGTTTATATACAGTTTCCCTGTCCATTTGATTTTCATTTCCGACGTTTTAATGTTTTAGAAAACGCCGAAAAAGGTATTTTCATTTTGGTATGTTGATAAAGCTGATAAACCTAGGAAAAAAAGAGATGCCACCTGGAGGAAGATGATGGATCCGATGACGAACGACTAAGCACTCATCATAGTTTCTATTTATGACTTCAAAATTTTGGACAAGCTGACTCAATTTTATTTTTGCATGAATCAACTTACATCAGTGGTTAGAGTAATCGTTGTTGTTTCTAGAGATTATGGGTTCGAGCACCAGTTACCGTAGTAGGGTAATTGAGCGTTTATTGTCAAGTTGACAATGTGCTATTTTGAAATTGAGTATTGGTATTATTTTAGTAGTATTAGTACTAAGATCTTGGTATTAATATCAATCAAATCAATTGAAATAGAGATATAATATTTCAAATTGACGTCGATATTGTCAAAAAAAAAAATACAATGTTGATCATTCAGTATTGATACCTATAGTCTGGTAGTAGTATCAATGACCTAAATTTGTTAAATTGTTCAAGTGGTCCCTCAATCATGTAAGGCTTGTGATATGATTTTGTAATGTTTTCAGGGAAGTCCCCATTTACGATTAACCGAATATGATATATATGATTTAGTTCAAGTTTGAGTCGGACATAATTTCAAACAATCAATGTGACATTGTCGATCCAGTTTACAACTATACCGGATTGAGGGTGTTATATGCTGGGGATTAAAATCAGAAGCTTGAAAAGGAAACAGACACAAACCTCTTAATTACTTTTGGTTGAAATTAGAAAGTTCGTTAGGAAAAACGCCATCTCCTTGAGCTAACAAGAAACAATGAAAGCCACTTTTAATATTGTTAGGCTTTGGGTAATTAAGGTCTCTCCTCTTTTTCTTCTTCTTTTTTTGTGTTCCCCCCATGTTTTGGGTTCTTGGTTTTCCTTGGGTCCATGCATTCAATTGAAACCAAGGGAAGCATGAGAAAAAGCACAAGTCAAATATACGATTCTTCCTCCGTTCACCCCCATCCCAAGAGGATTTATCACGTTTGGAAAGGAAACAATGTACCCTCTCTCCTCTTCTCCCCTTCATTTTGATTGACCGTACATCGTCAAGTTCTTCTAATCTGTGAATGTTATCCAGGATTTTTGTTGTGGCGGGAGAGTGATACTTGGCCCCGATGCGTCATCACTTTTCTTGACGTCGTTTTTGATTGGATGCCCCGCCATCGCCTTCTGCATAAAGATGGCGTTGCACATAAAGCCCCAAGACACCATTCTCAACCATCAGATACTGCTCGGGGGACTCGTCCTCACTGTTTTGGTTGGTCAAAATTATATTCATTCAATTCTTCTCGATCGGCATCATCCTTGTTATCGCAATTTGAACCATCATCAATCAATTCGTCTAGCCTTTGTGCGTGTTTTTTTTTTTTTTTTGGGCAGGATTTAGCGTTTCTGTTTCTAACGAGCTTTGGAGATCCTGGAATAATACCCAGAAATTCGAAACCGCCCGAGGAGGACGACAACGACCTGAGCAAGAGCACCTCGTTCGATTGGCTGAACGGTAAGCCGGGGAACCTGAGAGTGCCGAGGATGAAGGAAGTGAAACTGGCGACGGGTGAAACGGTTCAGGTGAAGTTCTGTGAAACGTGCTTGCTGTATCGGTCGCCGCGCGCATCTCATTGCTCCATTTGCAATAACTGCGTCCAGAGGTTTGACCACCATTGTCCATGGGTGGGTCAATGCATCGGACAAGTATATCTCCCTTCATTCGATTCATATTATTTTCATCAATTTAACTCTCAATCTCTACATCTTTAACTCGCGTTCAAATCTTAATCATGTTTGTTTCATATTAACATTATATTATTTGTCTTATATTTTATGCCAACAAATAATTTTAAAGTCAAAGAACATAGAATTTAGAAAATTATGAAGAAAAAAATATTATCGTGAAGCGTATGAACTATTCTATCACCCAATTATTACTTGACATGTGATATAAAATTTTATTTTTCAAAATTAAAATACCTCAAAAATTCTAATTTCTCAAAAATCCCCCTAAAAATATTTGAAATTCGTAAACCCTTTTTCCTCCTATTCTATCAGCTGCCGTCGAATGTGACTTAGATGCCGTAGCAAAGTCGTATGCCTAGATCTATAACACCTCTAATCCATCCGTTGTGTTCATTTGTGGCATGTACTCTTGTTTACCATTCGTTAATAACACCGGCAAAATGGCTGAGTGAATGTGATTGGGAAAAAGAATTCCTAGAATAAGTTAACTCGAGGATTATTTCCCTATATATAGTGAATTCAACAGTATCAACGTAAAGACGTTAGGTGTTTCATGAGTCTTCAAGTCAAATTTAAAGACTTCATGATTGCATATTTGACTTGAAGACACCATACACTCCCGAGGTTTCTGAAGATACGTGAAACACCTAACGTCTTCGTCAGATTACTGTAGATATCACTCTAGATGAGAAATAATCTTCAAGTTGGATTATTTTAAGGATTCTTTTTCCCAAAGTTATTTTCCCAGCCATTTTGCCAATACCGGCAAATTTGGCGGTTTACGACAATAATAAAACTGAGATAATCGGTAATAGGGGTTTACTTGGCGGTGGCTATTAGTGTAAGAGAAAATATTTTAGGGGTTCATTATAATTAAAAGATTATTAGAAATTGTGTTAGATGTCATGTGTTTATTGGGTGATGGGTTCTCTTTTAATAGATAACAATTTAATTTTAAAATAAAAAAGTTTATACATCTAATTTAATTAAAAAAAATAACTTAAAACACATAAAAATGAGAAAAAATTATAACGTGGATCTTATTTTACAATTAAGTACTAAATTTATTAACTTCTTTGTGTCTCATCTCATGTTGTCTCGTTCATATTGAAAACCACACATTGGGTGGTGTCACTGATTGCAGCGCAACTACACATTCTTCATATGTTTCATATCATCATCCACCGCACTGTGCATATTCGTGTTCACGTGTTCTTGGGTGAACATTCTCCGACAAGACACCGGCTTCTGGAACGCGGTATCTCGGGACATACTCTCAGTTGTCCTCATCCTCTATTGCTTCATCGTCGTCTGGTTCGTTGGCGGCCTCACTGTCTTCCATTTCTACCTCATCTCCACGAATCAGGTGATCTTCTTTTTTCTTTAATTAAGCAGAAAAGTATTATATTTAGACGAATACCAGAATTTGATCATTCGAGCCCATATAAGATAGGACAACATAGGCATCTTTTTAATTTCCCACTCATGCTTTTGCTAATTCATTTCATTAATGGCCCTCTCAATATGTGTTTTGCATCCAGACAACTTATGAGAGCTTCCGGTACCGTTACGATAGGAAGGCAAACCCTTTCAACAAAGGGATATTGAGGAACTTCAGGCAAGTGCTGCTTTCGAGGATCCCGCCCTCGTTGATCGATTTGCGGGCATTGGTTCCCGAGGATGGCGCTGAACTTTCAGTCAATGGGGAAAGCGTTAATGTTTCGAAACATAACTTAGACGTGGAAACGGGGATTCCCAAGCTTTTGCAGAAGATCGACGGCCTTGATGGTTTTGACAGCAACCCCAAGAACTACAAATTTAAAGATAAAACTAAGTTTGATATAGCTTGATTATTACGACCAAAAACCGTTTAGGCTGTAAAAATGAATCGAGTTTCAATGGATCGATTTGTTTTAAAATTTGTTTGTGTTTAAAGCTATATATTAACAGCTGAAAACCGACACTATCTGGTATAATATCTAAACTGCCAGGGACAAAGATTTAGTGTTGTTTTTAACAGCATTGTTAGTCTTGTTATGTCCGGTCACAAGTGATCGATTTGCCCGCTGAGTGGTTGTACGTGAAGAAGAGAAAAAAAGCAGAAAAGAAATGCAAAATTTCATTAGGCAATCAACTGTTCCTAAGTTTCTTTTGCTAAATCTTGCTACATATAACATGACTAAAGCTGAAAACGTACCAGAAAAGTGGAACTCTTACAAAAATAAAACTCTAGTACACAAGCTGTGGTTTAAATTCAGCAAAATCAATGGATCCTGACTCGATTGGCAGCATCAGATATGTAGCCAAGAGCTCCGAGGCCAATGCTGCAATCAGTGGAATCCTCTTTAAGTTCTTCACCAAAGGAATATCCTCTGTCTCCCCAACAGCAACCAATTGTTAGTTGATCTCAACCATTTTGTCCAACCTCCTCTTGAACTCCGGATTCTCAACATCCAGCACGGCAGGGAAAATCCTGGCGGTCGTGCGGTTTGTCTGCAGGCAAGGAATCCCAAGATTAACAAGGGAATAGGGACCGAAACTCGAGACTTTACGGCCTTATACAACAATTTAGCTGCTAACTAGTAGCTTCTACTAAGCTGGGGTAGATGCAGAATCCCCAGTTTAATGGCTCAATAAGATTAAAAGCAAGCTCAAATTTTACTAGCATAAGCACCTGCAGATGGAATGCTTTAAATTTAACACAATGCAACAATGGAGGCAGAATCAAACCTCGATGATGACATGCATGTCGAATTCTTTGGTGTCAAGTCCAATGCCCGTGTAGAAAGCGGTGCGTTGACAGTCGTTGAGGTACATGGTAACATACACCTGCAGAACAAAATTGTTAAAACACTGTGATGGGGATGTAGTATGATGACATAGATAGCATGAAAGAAACAAAATGATTACCCAGAGGCAGAAGAATCTGGACCACAGCTTAGCCTTCCAATCACTAAGGAACTGGGGCTGTGCCTTGAGCAACGCAGAGAAGAAATCGCCCCGACTGTTTTCGTCCTGGCACCAGTTCTCAAAATACTTGAAAATAGGATAGCATTGGTACTCTGGATTCTCTTTGAGATGTCTGTAGATAGTAATGTTTCTCCAATACCCAATTTTCTCAGATAAATTGGTAGCATAGAAAATGAACTTTGGCTTGAAGAAGGTGTACTTTCTAGCCTTTGTCAAGAACCCAAGGTCCAATGCCAAATTGAAATCAGACAAACCCTTGTTCAGAAACCTGTAAATCAATAAAATGGTAAACTTTAACTTTAGTAAATCTGTTCATAATGGCCATATAATGTGCATACCCGGCGTGCCTGGCTTCGTCCCTTGACATAAGAGAGAAAATCTCAGCCACAACTGGATTGGTTTTCTGCAGTATTTAGCAAAACAAATGAATATATATTTAACTATGGCGAGTAGGGCTGTAAGTGAGACCAAATAATAACAAACTACTCGGCTGAAGTTCAAATTTGAGCTCGGTTGAAGTTTGAATGAGTTTGATATCGATTTAAGTCAACTTTAAACTTTTTAAATCGAGTAAGATAATCAGTACTCAAGCTTGACAGTCTCATTTACAGGCCTAATGGCGAGAAAAGAGGGTAAAAGAATATTATGATACCTTGAGCCTCCTCCCGAGTTCTTTGTAGAGTAGAAAACCGGAGAACTCAGCAGTGCAAGACCTCTCCAAGAACTCAACGAAGATATGTCTCTAAGGACCGTCGATCTTATCAGCAGCCTCCTTGAACTACTTGTTCCTCACAAAGTGGATCTGGTTGTAATCAGTCTTGAACTCTTGCAGCAGTGCCTCGAACTCGGACTGGTTAAGGTTTTTGTTGATCTCGGTGTTGAAAAGGGTCTCCATCTCATCGAAGTCAGTGGTCTAGAACCTCGGCGTCGGTTGCCGTTTTGGCAGCTTTCTTGCCGCCCTTCGCAGCTGTCTTTTCCGTCTTTGGCGGCGAAGTGGATGACATTCTGACGGTGGCGAACTTCACATATCGTGAGTTGCTGAAAATGGGGTGGTGGAACTGAACATGGAGATAGGCTTTAGAAGGGCCATTTCGGTTGCCATTCTTGTTTCCGACAGAGTAGGATAAGCTGTTTGATTTATAGGCGACAGACAGTTGATCGAATCTCATCGATGAAATCTGTGTCTGTGAATCGGATACTGACACGTGTGAACTCCATAGCCGGGCTTGATTACTCTCTTTTGTTTCTGAGTATGGCTGCATGGCCCAAGGATTTGTGGTGTACCATTAAATAACGCCCCTTGATATTTGTTCATGGCATTTATCATATTTTTGACATTTTATTTTTCATTTTTAATCGTCTTTCATATAAATTAGACTAAATGAATTTTGGGGCTTAAGACTTAAAAGAAATGGGAAATTATTTAATTTTAATTTAATATTTTATATACGGTAAATAATAATATCGGTATATTATAAATTGTTTCTTAGTCTAATTTAGTGACCGTCTTTGGATGTTTTTACGAAATGTCTCACATTTGAATCCCAAACTTAACAAAATTCTTTTATTTTATGATGATAATTTAATGTAAGTTAAATATATACTTTATGTTCATATATATATATATATATATATATATATGCATGTATACTTTGGCATAACCAAGACATGTATTGATGTATTCTTCCTAGCTTAAGAGGTTGACTGCTTAAATCTCTTCCGAGAGAGCCAGCTTTGAATCCAAATAATTTCGTTTAGGGTTTCCCTTGTTTTGTTACTAACAAGGTGATCGCATATGATTTGAAAATAAATATATATATATATATATTAAAAATTAAAAATTGTTATATCATTAATTTTGTAATGGTGAATGATTAAAACAGAACTAGAACTTAACTTTATATATATGCTCTTGAAAAAAATAGTTGGTTGGGTAAATAACTAAATAAATAGTTTACCCTTAATAATATTCAAAAATGAACTTGTAAAAATTTGACTAGGACAAGGGGATTTGACAATTTGTCCCTTGCATCCCATGATTAGACCAGGAGAGTGAATTTTGGGATATGACTATTGTCCAAGAAAATACTAATTTTAAAGTTTTTCGTATGCTTAGAAGATCTTACACAATAAATAAATTGAAATTTGTGGATTTTATAGATTTCAAATGATAACAAGAAATAAGATAAATTTACATGTTCTTTCTTATTCCTTAAAAGAAGTTAGACTAAAGGACGGATACGTCATTTTATGTTAAGGGTAGACTTATAAAGTCAAAATGGCATTTGTAACTCTAACAATGGCCGAACCAAAACAGAAGCCGCTAAATGGTACACTACACGATGCTCAACCCATGTTCCAAACCTATATATGATGCATATTCGAATATAGATACGAAGATGTGATATTCTTAGGACCTTCTAAACACATGAAAAGTTAATAGAAAAATGAAGATACCTACATTAGATACATATCTGTGTACCACACTCATCCAAATCTTAAATAATAACAGAGAATATAGACATAGAGCTTCAATACATAGGCCGAATATCCTCCCAAAAATTACCTTTTGTTGTTGCCCAACGATCTCAAAGGAATGAATCAACTTCATTTTCTTTCACCTCAGAAAATAGTTACAGGGCAGTGAAACAAAAGCATGTAAAAGTCACTAAAATGACAGGATTATGAGAATGGTATGCATTTAAGAATCAAATGAACAAATAGCTTGCATTTCACCTAAGAGATAGAAAAATCAGGCAAGTACTTGGATCATACATCTTTGAGTTTCCAAAATGAAATAGAATAACAGCAGATTCAGTTCATTGAGATCATCACTGCTCAACAGAATATAACATCTACACGATAAAGAGAAGAAAATTGAAAAGGGTAAGCAAAAGGGTCATACATTCTTCAATTTCTTCATCTTAGAAGGAGGCCATCGTCCCTTCTTCCTCAGCTTTCTCTTGCGAACAAGTCGCTTCCTACGAAGCCTTATCTTCTTGGCCAGCTTCATCCTCATCTTCTGCTCCGCCAACTGCTGCATCTTAGACTCCAAAGGAAGTTTCCCCACACCCAAATCTTCCTTCTTGCTCTCCGATGGAAACTGTTGCTCGTCATCGGCACTTTCAGCGGATGCTTTCACGGTCATCACCGATCTTTTCTTGTTTTGGACAAGCTGGGCACCGATTGAACATTTTAAAGGATGATAATCAACCGCTTTCACCCACAACCTGGAAACTGACAACGAATAGGAAAAAAAGTTGCAAGAAGAAGAATGTTTACATCAATGACAAGAGGTGTTCGATGAAAATTCCCAGAGAAGATAAAGTCAAACAAAAAAACAGACTTACTTGGTAAAATGGCGATGGGCAACGACGTGGAGGAAGAAGGAAATGGGGAAGAAGATAGAGAGGGAAGTGGATTACAGGCGCGGAGAGCCATTTGTTTGTACTCTGGTTTTGGATAAGTTAGATAAATGTGCTCCTTTTTTCTTCGAACTGTAAACACGGTAGATAATATGAAACGAGAAAATTAATAAATAAACAAATCTTTGATGGGCCAATGAATCTGCAGGCTTCATGCCCACTAAGTCATGGACTTAACAACACCCAACAACAAACCACTGAATCGACCAGAGACGTTTAAGTGTTTATTGTTAAGGGTAATGTTTTTAGTGAGTATTTTTTATTTTATGTTGTTACTTTTACTTTTTTTTAATTTTCAATTATTAAATATTTTTAATTATATATCAGGTAAATCCTAAAAACCTAGTTTTCATTTCTTGGTGTGTCGTTCATCTCTTTTTTCTTTCGCCTTTAATGATCGACGGCGACACCAACTTTAATATTAGTTGCCGACCCCTGTATTCTTTATTTTCTTTTTATTTTTTATATCATATCTTTTTTTTATTTTTAATAAGTTTATATGTGTACGTTTTTTTATGTTTTTGGTATGTTTTTCGGTTCTTAGGACTTATTTATTTTTTTAAGTGTTAATTTGACATCACCACGATTGATCAAAATGGTATTTATCTGATATATTTTGATATTCACTGCTTTAGACCCTCAGATTGGATATGAATATTTAATTTGCGTTCGTGAATATCTTTTCACGCCGCTCGAGTTTGATTTGCGGTTTATCGATGAGTTTTCAATAGCTTGAACCCCTTTTGTGGTTCTTTTGTCTATGCAATAAGATCTTTTTGTATTTATCTTTGTTCGAGTTTCTTGGTTAGATTTAATCTTTCCTTATATGATCCTTATGTGGTCTTAACTTATTAGTCTTGTTTAAATGATTATACGAAATTTTATTAATGTTTAATTTTACGATTATGATTGTAAATATTTATTGTATTTTGATATATTTCCTATTTTGAATAAAATTAGTTACTTTTATAAAAAAATATTAAATAATTTTAAAAATAAAAGAAAATCTACAAATTTACAAATTATATATATATATATATATATATACTTTATAAATATATCGAGATGGGTAAAACGAATCACTCTTAAACGAGACCCTAATATGACCTTAATTTTTTTAATAATAAAAACCATCCAATCTCTGTTCAAAATTCGATTTTTCTTAAAAATATAAAAGTGTTAAGATTAGATAAAGTCGATCGACAATAAAAGTTACCATTATAAATCATTCTTATTTGCTTACTTTAAAATATTGAACCAAAATATTAATTTTTTTGGGTAAGTTATACCATTGACTACTAAATTATTTAGCCTTTTTACTTTTGCCAACGATATTTTAATTTTGTCAATCAGATCATAAAATTATTTAAATGATGTGAATCAAGTCAATTGACGTTAATTTCTTATTCAATAAAAATCAAATGACAAATATAATTAGAAAAGGGGCATGGGGGAGATTCAAACCTAGGACAAATGGAGCAAAATAGAGAAGCCTTACCACCGAGCCAAACCCGACATTTGGGGAGAGAATTTACACAACACTTTATATATTTTATAATTTAGTTAATGCTAGAGAAAAGAAATAAAAATGTCAGAGAGATTTAAACCTAAGCTAGGTGAAGTACTTTAAATCACCAAACCACTAGAATAAACCTTATTTTTGAACTATAGCTGGGTATATATTCTATATATATTAAGATTAATTTATACATTATTAAAAAATAAATATAAGATTTACATATTTTTCTTCATTTATAATATTTTAAAAAATTAAATTTATGATTTATAAATAAAATAAATCATTTATATTTTAGTTATTTTTTATTAGATCGTGTAGTTTTTAAATTGCACATTTTATATATAATAAAAAGTTAATAAAATATAAATGATTTATCCTTTTTATTTTTAACATAAAAAATAAAATCATCAGTTGAACAAAAAAGATCAGTTTATATATAATCTTTAAATGTAAATATGAAAAAAAATATTTATTTTATTTTAAAATATATAAATCTTAAATTTAACTTTTTTTAATATCGTATAAATTAATCTTAATATATATAAAATATATACCCAGCTATAGTTTAAATAAATTTAAATTATAGTAAAAACAATTTTATCTAATGGTGACATGTGTCACCATTTAATTGGTGAATTAAATTTACTGAAGTAAATAATATTTAGGGCCAAATTGATTGAATGTATAAATATTGAGGATCAAATGTAGAATTATACCAATTGTGTTAACTGCCACATCATCGCTTTTTATTAAAAATTAACGGCAAGTGACTTGATTGACATCATTTGAATAGTTTGATGATCTGATTGATAAAATTAAAAGATCGGTGATAAAAGTAAAAGGGTTAAATAGTTTAGTGGTTAATGGTATAGTTTACTCATTTTTTTACAAGTATATAGAACTAAAATATTGTTTTTTTTACAATAAAAGAACTAACATACATATTTTTGATATAGAACAAGGACCTCTAATACAGTTAACCGGTGTTAAACATAATTATTATCGTAAAAAAATATCAAAATTAAAAACCCGAAGCCTAGATTACTTTCACTGACAAAACTAAAACCCTAAACCCGAGTAAATAACTTGAAAGCTCAGAAACTGAGACGGAAACAGAGAAGAAGGACAGAGAGGGAGGAAACAATGGCTTTGTATCTTAGACGAGCAATGAGATTAAGAAACACGATACAAACAGCACTGTATCTTAGGGGCTCAAACACCCAAACCCACGACATCTCTCACCTTCTTATTTCTCATAACCAGCAAATCCTCCATTCCCAAAACAGCACTCCTTTCCCTTCCTTTGCTTTACTCGGAGATTCTCGACGAGGTTTTGCCAAAGGCAAAAGATCCAGTAATTTATAACCCATCTTACTTATTCAGAGCTAAAAAGCTGTTTTTTTAATTGTTTGTTGATTTGTTGTGAAAAGTGGTTGTTTTTTGTGATCTTTTCGTTGTTTTTTTTATGGGTTGCATGTTGTTTTTCTAATATGGTCTCTCTTTTTTGAAATAAAACTGGAATCTAGGGATTAGTTTCTTATGAAAATATGAATTGGATTATTTTATCTGGATCACAATGCTTAATTAAAACTAGAAGAAATGGTTTTATTTGGTAGTGATTTCCCTTAATTTGCATTGTCAGAGGATGATTCTGGTGGGAGTACAATGGAACTGGCTCCCGATATTGGGCCTTCTGTTAAAGCAAGTGCTTCATCACAGATGGATGCTGCAATATTGGCCTTATCGCGGGAGCTAGCCAAATTGAGAACAGGAAGAGCTTCTGCAGGTATATTTCTGGTTTAATTGAATTTATTTCCATTTTATAAAATTTTGTTTTGTTTCTAGTATAGTGGTTTAAAAATAAAACAATTTTAAATGAATTTCTACAGGAATGCTTGACCATATTATTGTTGAGACGGAAGGTGTAAAGATGCAGCTGAACCACTTAGCTGTTGTTTCTGTTATAGATTCAAAAACTTTGTCGGTGAATCCGTATGATCCAAATGTAAGAGCACAAGCCTCTTCTATGTCAACCCCCCCCCCCCCCCCAAACGAGTTTTTATCACAAAAAATAGTCATTAATTTTTTTTAAATATTTCAGAATTCTCATTTTTAACATAAAACTTTTTCTTGTGTCTGTGTTTAGTCCATCTTTTTGAGCAAAATGATGAAACAAACATAATGCCCTTTTTTTCCTGTTCTGTTTTTGATCCAAAGAAAACTGCAGCCATTGATAATATTCTGTCTAGAGCACGTTGAATAACAAAAGTTTTTTTTTTTTGCAGACTCTGAAAGCATTAGAGAAGGCCATTGTTTCATCTCCATTAGGCTTAAATCCAAAGGTGGATGGTGAACGGTTGGTCGCCGTTATTCCACCGTAAGTGTTTACTCTGAATAATTCTTTCTAATTTAATAGCTTATAGTATTTGGTAGTTAGTATTGGAAGTTGAAGCGTTTGGTTTGATTACCAATGTAATAATGCTTACAAATTAAGTGCAATCTATGTACAATTAGTATGTTCTAATCTGATTAGATTGATTGTTATTTATCTGCGATTAATATTTTCTTTTTATTTTTCATGCTTGATCGTTATCATTTGCAAGTACACTTTATGGTCTCTCAACTGATGTAGTTATTATGTTTTTTTTTTTGATAACCAGATTAACAAAAGAGCATATGCAGGTTAGTTTTGGATTGTCTTGACCATTTTTTCACTTCTTATTTCGCATTCATCTATGCTGTTCATTGCTAAGATATTCTTGCACTACTGCAGGCTATGTGCAAGGTCGTTGCCAAGTCTTCTGAAGATGTTAAGCAAAGCATAAGAAAGGCTCGACAAAAGGTATCATACAATGTATTTTTTATAACTGATAAGTTATTTATGTTTCAAACCCATTATCTCTAATTTTATTTTTAACGGGAAATAAAATGCAATGGAAGTAATTCTGAGTTCTGACATTCGAGTGGTTGAAGCTTTTAAAATGAAATGTCCAGTTTTGAATGTGATATCCCTTGTTATATTAAAAGTTTCCCCCAGCTATGGTTCAAAGGTTCATAATTTGGTAATTCTACACACATTGCCTGCACTTTATCCTTTGTAGTATACCTAAGATATTGAATCCTTTTACCTTTTAAAGTTATCTATGGCAACCTCAAGGAAAGCAGTAGTTTTTCCTTTTTTTCGAGTGTGGTGCGATGGTTAACGAAAAAGGAATACCACTTTTGTCAAAGTAGATTTCGATGCTGGAGATGGAGGAGAGCAGTTGCTACAACTTATCATTTTGGTTGCTTTACAGGCACTGGATTCGATAAAGAAAGCGAGTTCTAGTTTCCCCAAGGATGAGGCCAAGAGATTGGAGAAAGAAGTGAGTTAGTTTCATTGGGGTTTAATAAGTTTATTGAAGTTATAGATTAGTGAGTGAGCAATGCATCCATTGATGTTTGAAAATCTTGTGCAGATTGACGAGTTGACTAAAAAGTTTGTGAAGTCAGCTGATGAATTGTGCAAAGCCAAGGAGAAGGAGATTGCTCAAGGCTGATAACCAATGTAATGTTGAATTTCTCCACATTTGAAACCTTAAAGAGTCTTCTATAGACGTAGATTTTGATAGAAACCACCAATGATTCGTAGATTTTATCTAATCTTTCCCTCAAATTCATGCACTATGTAGAAGCTTTCTTACGCTAATAAATTTTAGTTACATGTATGTATGTTGTTATCAATTTTCTCATGGTGTGGTGTATAATTTAGTTTTAAAAAATTGAATATCTTTTAAACAACTCGGTGTTTAAAAAATCAACTATTGATAAAATTTTCAATTTTTTACGAAGTACATGTGAACAAATAGCATTAGTTTGTAATTACTCCGGATTATTTAAAAAAAGTATGGATGAAAATAAACAAACATTAGATTAAAAGAAGACCTTTTTTTTGGGGGGTTTGGGGGCATTAATCAAGTCGGATCTGAGCCGTTCAATCCTTATCACTTTCTCTCTCATCACTACACATGCATGCATACCTACGTGGTTCGTTTTTACCGGCGATTTGATCAAACTGACACCCTTTAACCGAATATCTCCCTTTTTAGCATCGTTTGATCTATATTTCTCGAAGTGGCACCCTTTCGGCTGAGGTGGCGAAAGGCGCATCCCCGGGGACGTGCTTTATCTGATTTTACGCCGAGTTAGATGCCACGTGTGAAAGGCGCATCCCCGGGGATGCGTCTTCACAGGGTTTTGTTGATTCAGTTGCCACGTGTGAAAGGCGCATCCCCGGGGACGCGCATTTCATTAAATGTCTTAAATGCTCATTCGATTTTTCCCCAACTACCCCTCCTCCTCCTCATATATAAACCCCCTCAACCTCCCCTCATTTTTCACACCAAAATCATCTTCTCCTCTCTTATATAACTCAAATTCTCCAAATCTTTGAGTTTTAAACTTCTTATTAGTAGTAAGAAATTTATTTTTCAGTTATTATTATTTTTAAATAGTTATTATATTTTATATTAATATAATTATATAAATATTATTTTTTATTAAAATAATATTTATATAATTATTATTTATTTAAATTTATTAATTAATTATTTTTTGTGCTAATTATTTTTTTTGTCTACAGTTATAATGGAAAGTGAAATGCTGCTGCGATTGGATGCCGACCATATCTCCAGACATTTTAGCAATATGATAATATTTTTTTATAATTAATGTTAATATTTATTGTTATGTTTAATTTAAATTTATTATGAATTTATATTAATTTTAATTTTTTATAATGCATATTATTTATGATACTAATCGTATTTTAGAGACATTTATTAAAAATTCACGTATACCGACACCGGAACGTATTTTGTCATATTTGGCTTCTTCCGAGTTCGGATATATTGCAACAATTATTGGCGGTTACAAACTCGAACATGTCATAATTTCTGCATTAATTGAGAGGTGGAGGCCCGAGACACACACTTTTCACCTTCCATGTGGAGAGGCTACAATTACATTGGAGGATGTCACTGTGCATTTAGGGCTTCCCGTCGACGGAAATATGATGTGTGGTATGGCGGATGGTGATTGGCAGTCAATGTGCATTGATTATTTTGGAACTACTCCGCTAGAGTTTAATGGAGGTAAAATAGCTTTATCTTGGTTGAAATCTAATTTTGAGGTTTCAAATGAAATGCTTCAGAGGATCAAGCAAATGCATGTGCTCGGGCATATATTCTATGAATAATTGGAAGAATATTGATGCCCGACAAATCTCGCAACCAGGTGCATTGTATGTGGTTGCGACATCTGATCGATTTTGATGAAGCTGGAAGATATAGTTGGGGCGCTGCAGTTTCGGCATTTCTCTTTAGAGAAATGTGCCGGGCGACGAATTATAAGAAAACTGCTATCGGTGGATGTCTCCTGCTTCTGCAATCATGGGTGTGGTTCAGCATGCCTTTCTTATGCTCGATCGTGAATGAACCATACGTATTTCCCTTATTGTTGAGGTAATTATCGAACTAAATTTTGATTTAAATATTTTTAATTAAATAGGGTGATATTTAGTTTATATTATATTTCATAGGTGGTCGATGAAAAGAAAGAACCATAGAAGTATACCTACTGGGTTAAAGGAAATTCGTCTATTTATTGATACAAAAGCTGGGTCTGAGGTATGTTTTTACACCTGTTTAAATATTAATATTTTAATTTAAAATGCTAGATATAATTAGAATATTTTATTTATTTGAATTGTATATTTATATTTCAGTTTCAATAGATACCGTATGCGAGCGATGAAGTGAATGCTTGCATCCCACCCCACCTTGGTGGGTCATTAGAAGTTTGGATATCGGTTATACCTCTTATATGTTATACTATTATTGAGTGGCATCCAGTTGATTTGTACGCATTATATTCCTGGAGCACCTAGGAATTTAGATGTGTATAACATAAATAGACGAGGAAAGAAAGATGTTAACTGGGTGGTGAGACACAGAGATTGGATTGCGCTTTGGGAGAACCGGTATGCACAGTTGGCCCCTCGACAATATTACGTTGAAACTGGTCATATGGTTACGGATAACTATATGGATTGGTTTAATGAAAAGGGAAGTTGTTTCTACTTTCGGCGGAAGCACGAGGGGTTAGCATTCCTAGGCGCCGAGAAATACGTCAACCGTCTCAATATCATCGTACCCGACGCATGGATGGAGAGAAGGTGCTACCGGTTCTGCAACAATTCCACCACAACATCTTTATCCACCGATGCCACAATGGTACATGCCCAGCCCTCCACTTCAGATGCCATCTCCTCAGGGGTATATGCCAAGCCCACCAGTTCATATGTCATCTCCGCAGGGTTACATTCCTAGCCCACCAGGTTACATGCCTAGCCCGTAGGATTTTATACCATATGGAGGTGCATATACGGCTATGTTTAATGATCCAACATATGGTTCATATGCATCTTATTTGGCTGGTGGTGCTTCTCATCAGACACCTCAATCTCCATCTGGATCACAGACATCGATGCCAATGTTTCTACAGTTTTCACAGTTCCCGGGGAGCGGTGGGATGGTTACTAGCACTCCTCCAGGGTCGTTATTTTATACATACCCTTCAGCCTCTTCAGCGTCATCTACGCCAAATGAAGAAAATGCCGATGATGATGATAGTGAAGATGTGGAGACTGAAGAACAAGTTTCACGAAGAAATCCTCCGCGAAATAGACAACCACCGCCATGTGAAACTCATTCGAAAAGACGACATCGGTGATCCAGTTGTATTTTAATGTTATTTAAATAGTTATATTTCAGAAATTTATGTAATTTGGTTATGTTATTTAAATGTTTCATTGTTGTTACTACCAATATTTTTAATGTTATTTTTTATTCAAATTTAACATTAAATGTTTAATAAATGTTTTTAAAATACAAATTATAGTATTCGAAATTTAAAATTAAAATACAAATAATATTATTCGAAATTTAAATTTAAAATATAAATTATAGTATTCGAAATTTAGCATTAAATTCAACTTAATATTCCAATTGTATTCGAAATTAAAAGTTATATTCCAATTATAGTTCACAGTACTTAAATTGAAATTAAATTTATCCATACATATGATTTTATCATTAACATATATATTAAAACGTGTACATTAAAATGAACTTATCACTTCACATTTATTCGTAAAAACATGTCGATGTTAATTCCATACAATTTCAATGTCACAATAAACTTATCACTTCACATTTATTCAATTTATCCATAACATTTTATCTAATTTATTCAAACTTCACATAACGTTTTAATTTAAGTTATGAACTTAAATTTATCTATATGTATAATTTTATCCTTAACTTGCTGAACTTCCAAAAGAAGTTAAATTTTGGTTATAATTTACCTGATTTCACCATCCATCTATAAATCCCCAGGAACGCGCTTTAAAGTCCCCTAAGGAATAATAGGTATTGACATGAATAGTTCCCGGGGGATATAAGTGACATAATAGGGCAATGATAACATATTCTCTGACAAAATAATGGAAGGCGCGCCCCCGGGAACGCGCCTTCACGGTCCCCTAAGGAATAATAAGTATTGACATGAATAGTTCCCGGGGGACATAAGTGACATAATAGGCTAATGATAACATATTCTCTGACAAAATAATAGAAGGCGTGCCCCCGGGAATGCGCCTTCACGGTCCCCTAAGGAATAATAGGTATTGATATGAATAGTTCCCGGGGACATAAGTTACATAATAGGACAATAATAACATATTCTCTGACAAAATAATGGAAGGTGCGCCCCGGGGAATACGCCTTCACGGTCCCTTAAGGAATAATAGGTATTGACATGAATAGTTCTCGGGGGACATAAGTGACATAATAGGGTAATGATAACATATTCTCTGACAAAATAATGGAAGGTGCGCCCCCGGGAACGCGCTTTCATGGTCCCCTAAGGAACAATAGGAATTGACATGAATAGTTCCCGGGGGACATAAGTGACATAATAGGGCAATGATATCATATTCTCTGACAAAATAATGGAAGGCGCGCCCCCGGGAACGCGCCTTCACATGAATAGTACCCCAATTATAGACATTATTCCATGCAACGTATTATAAACTTTCAAAACAAACTTCAGTTCACAAACTTTGAAATTCTCAAACTCTAAATTTCTCAAAAATCTCAATCCTTTATTCTCTGAAAATAAGTCATCTTTCTGCTATTGTTTTGTATGATGGAGAAATTAAACAAGCTGAAGAGGGGGTTGTTTTTGAGTCAGATCATTATATCCCCTTAACCTTGAAGAGAAACATCATTCTTGAGGAGTTAATCATAAAACTTTCGTTAAAAATTTGTGTAGCAGGCCGAAGAAGACTATCTTCACTTCAGTACAGATTTCCTACTGAACTTTTTATGCTCACGTATACATCATTTCAGCTTTCAAACGATGATGATATTTCTATGATGGTTGATGCTCATATGGGAAGTTCACAATCTCTTATTGAAATGTATGCCACTTTTATTGAGGTTTGTGCTTCTCGTGGTCTCTCATATTCCTCTCACTTTGGCATTGTATATCAAGCTGATCAAGTTGATAGCCCGACACAACTGATATGTAATGATTTCACATCATTAATGGTGGATCCAACACCAGATGCCATGCCATCAAGTTCAGTATGAAGGCATTCATCTGCAATTGCTTATGATCTCAACCC